GAAAAACAATTCTAGGGAAAACTTTACAATCAAACAAGCCAAAACTTGGAAAATGCAAAACAAGTTCTTACTTCCATGGAAAATTTTCAATATCAAACCGGGCATAAAACTTTATCTAGGCCCGGTGGCCTCCAGCTAGAAATGGCAAATGGAGCTTCACTTTTTATGTAGACAGATCGGCCCACCAAAAAATGTTGCCGGGCCCTCTTCGCCTTGCTATTTCCTCAAATAACACTTTCACAGACAGGAGAAATGGAACAAATCGAGCTGTAAAAATGTCGGCAACTTGAACAAGTACTGTACTTTCACTGCATATTACTGTTTGATCACTCTGGATTCAATTGAATAGATGAATGAACAGACATGCCCGGTTAATCAAGCTGGGCCTGGATACCAACGCAATCCACGCCACGAAGCTCGTTAATGACTACTCACTGTGTCACGCACACCAAGTGTTCGATCAAGTGTCGCAAAGGGACACAACCCTATGGACCGCTCTTATATCCGCTTACGCCCGCTCCGAACCGTCTCGTTGTTCCCAGGCAATCCGCCTTTTCTCGATCATGGCCCGGGAGCAAGGTCTGGATACACGGCCGAATCACTACACTGTCACCACCGTTGCCCGAGCAGTAGCTTCTGCCCCGGAACACTTATACATGGGAAAAGCCCTCCATGGATACGTCATCAAATCTGGGATGATGTCGAGAAATGTTGTTGTTGAGACTGCGTTTATGGATATGTATGCAAAATGTGGGGATGTTGAATGTGCACATAAACTGTTTGATGAAATGAATTCGAGAAATTTGGTTACGTGGAATGCTATGGTAGCTGGGTTTGTACAAAATGGGATGGAGAAAATTGGGTTGGAATTATTTTTGAGAATGAAGTGTTTGGAAAATTATTTTCCTGATGAATGTACTATCTCTACCGTGTTATCAGGTGTTGCTAACATTCAAGACTTGATTTTTGGTTTACAGATTCATGGTTACGCTATTGTAAGTGGGTTCGATTCGAATTGCTTGAATTCAATTGCTCATATGTACTTTTGTTGCGGTCAAGTAAACCAGGCTGAGAAACTTTTTAGTGTGGTAGAAGGAGACATTGCTTCAAAGATGATAAAAATTAGAGGTTATGTTTATAATCAAAGATACTGTGAGGTATTGAAGCAATTTTGTTTAGATGAGAATCCTGCTGAGATTTTCAATTGGGATCACACCATAATTCTGCCTATTTTAACTGCATGTACGAAGCTGTCTTTGCTCAGAGTTGGGAAGCAAGTTCACAGCATTTTTATTACATTGTTTGGTTCTTGTTTTCGCTCTAAGTTCTCAGAGGATGACAAAGTAATTCTAGGAAGTGCATTTATTGACATGTATAGCAAGTGCAACATTATTGATGATGCTCAGAAAGTTTTTGACTATTGGATGCCTGAAAGACGGGTTTCTCATTGGAATGCGCTGATATCTGGGTACATATATAATGATTTGATAGAAGATGCTAGGAGATTGTTTGACAACGTGCCTGACAAAAATGTGGTTTCTTGGACAAGCATGATGACAGGATATGCACAGAATGGTAGGCCACAAGACGTCCTAAAGTTGCTGGATAAAATGTATAGTGATGAAGAAGGATTTAAAGTAGAAGGAAATTGCTTAACATTTGTGGTTGGCCTTGAATCCATTAGCCTTTTATCAGAGATAGAGAAGGGAAAGCAAGTACATGCAAAGATAATTCGGAGATTTAGGAGTGCCGATTCTTGTAATGTGATTGTTGGAACAGCTTTGGTAGATATGTATTCAAAATCAGGTAATATGAAGTATGCAATAACAGTATTTGACAAGATGGTTGAGAAAAATACCATTGCATGGACTTCTATTATTATGGGATATTCAGTTCATGGATTTGGTTTTCATGCCCTCAAACTTTTTCAGCAGATGATGGAAACAGGTATTCAACCAAATGAGGTGACATTCATTGCTGTATTAACTGCTTGCAGTCGTTGTGGTTTGGTGGACGAAGGATTGCATTACTTTGAGCTGATGAAGACCAAGTATAATCTGATGCCCAGGGAAGATCATTTCACCTGTCTAATGGATATGTTGGGACGTGTAGGCAAGCTGGATGAAGCATGGCACTTGCTAGAGGAAATTGAAGACGCAGAATTGGGAGAAAGATTCCCGTCTGGTACCATTTTGGCAGCACTGTTGGGCAATTGTTATGTACATGGCAACGTGGACATAGGCAAGAGGGTAGCTAAAAAGATGTTGCAATGCGGAAAACAAGTTTCTACTACCCATATTACTCTTTCTAATGTTTATTCATCGGCAGGGTTGTGGAATGAAGCATTTGGAGTAAGGATGAACTGGAAGAAAGACAGTGATGAAAATTCAGAGCCCGGCCTTAGCCGAATCTGCACTCGTCCACAGGTTTATTGATCTGGAGTTCTGGAGGTTTTAGAAAAGTGCATATTTATCTCCTCAAGTGATTCACCTTGGAAGAAATTACTTATTCTTGGGTTATTGTGGTGTAGGATGATTTGTCTCAGCAACCCTAACAGAGCAATGAATTTAGAGAACCTACCATTTGTTCAATATAACTGAAGTAACTTTGGTATATGATGAATTTGTTTCAGCGACTCAGAATTGCTATTATGAAGAAACGTTCTTGGTTTATAAGTATATTTTGCCCTTTCCACCTCGAGGATGGCTTAAGTGGTCGAGACAAAGTCTTGCAAAGACCTAAATAAGTTTCAGATGCAGTATCAACATAGCATGTTAGAAGATGGAGAGTAAGACCAAACTTAATGTGATGAATTTGGTTGTATTGGATCTTTTGGTTGACATTGCAATGTAGCAATGAACTGAATACGATGACGAAAGAGGATTTATATTACCTACCTTGAATTTATTGATAATAATAGTTTACGGTATCCAAATTAATTGGAAAGATGCAAGTTCAAGAATATTGGCCATGTTTAACATTAGACAACATAGTCAAGAAATTAAATGAAAACTATGAATTTCCTTGTGGTTCTTGTTGGATAAAGTGAAAAATGTAACATCTTGGTTTTAGAAAGACAAGGCGAAAATCTTATTCATTGAAGTTGTGGCTAATACTGCTTATGAAATACGTCCTCATTCTTCATGATAACCATCATACAAATCTCGAGCTTTATTTAATGGGTAGTTTTGAGTTTTGAGTTCTATTCTACAACCCATGACATTCGTATGAGATTTTTTTCTTGCCAAAGTATTCATTTGATATGAACTAGGTACCAAACAAAGACTATCTGATTGTTCTGTAGTTGTATACCCCGTGACGGTCTATGAGAGAAATTCATAATATTTTCTTTATTCTTGTCCCACCCCCGACTAACTTCAATCAATGAATATTCCTTTATGGGATGTTTGTATGGTACATTAGACCGTATTGTCTATTGTCATGTATACTACTATCCAATCATACATACCCTTATAGTACCAGACACCGTACATCACTATAAAAGGAACAAAATATTCAAGAACTTGGTAAGATTGAATAAATACTACTTACCCAGGATTTCACTCAATTCTCCAGAAAATGTCCCGTTTCAGAATCCATAGCCACAGGAGAAGCAGAGCAAGGCAATCTGCAGTTTTAGCAATATCTTTTCTTTTTCTCTCTCTTATATCAGTTCGAGGCTGCTCAGTGCTCATGCAACTATTTTCACCGTAGGGGATTCTTCAGGCTGGGATTTCAATATGGGAAATTGGACAGATGGGAAACACTTCAAGGCTAGTGATGTACTTGGTAAGGATAAAGCTGTTTGAACATGGCTTCATGTAGTGCGGTCTACTCGGTAAACCCTCGAGCTATAAATTTAACTACCTAGTCTGTAAATTTAACGTCAGATGTTGAACTAAGTCTATAAATTTTTAACTTATAGAGACGGACAGATTTATTTATTTAATTCTTTTGTTGAGAATGCCCCCTTGTGCAAAGTCTGAATTCATTTTATTTATCAAATGCTTACACTTGAACGATTTTTATAAATAGTAGGTAGCGAAACTTGATCGTGGGATCTTAACTTGCTCTAATACAACTTCGAACCACCTTAAGCTTTTAGAGAACGGACACATTTTTGAATGCCAACCTATATTTACATTTCTATAAATACAAACGTATTCTTTCATTTTTTTCCTTTCTTTTTTAAATATAATTTTTCTCTGTGGTTTTGCAGTTTTCAACTATGATCCATCTCTGCATAATGTGGCTGTAGATTTGAATGCATACAGCAGTATTTCTTGTTAGATATTCATACAATAAATATAATATGTGAAAAAAATAATTAATT